AAGAAACAAAGAAAAAGCAGCATATTTATTGCACACGTTTTTCCAAAAAACGTTTGCATACAATCCGGTCTCTAGTAATTAGGTGTAATAGATTCATGTAATATTTATCACCTTTGATCTTTTTGTTAAGTCAACAAAGTTCCATGTAGAAATGCAGTATCTAGGCTTAAACTGCGTATATAACACAACCTTGTATATTTAAAAAATGATATAATTAGGAAAAAACACCTGTTATTTTCTGATAAATGCAGTAATTTCACAAACCTGAATGCCCGTAAGCTAATCATAAGTGGTTTCACTTGAAATATGCAGGGTAGGAATTGCGATTTCAGATAAACAAAATGTTGAAAAAGATCAAGATAACATGAATAATACATTGACCAAGGTATATCCTTTCAGGGCAGTTTCAATAAACGTCATTTTTTGAAAAGTTTTCATATCTACAATCTTCACAAAACTACTGACACCCCCTCCCCACTTCATACACATTTGCCATACAAACATTCACATTATTTCTTACCTGATCAAGAAATCCACTTTTTCCCATCCTGTTACCTACTTAACATGAAACTGAACCTACCTCTACATCAAATCCAAAGTTCTTCTTTCCTTCTTCATGAGCAGCATACAATTTTGATAGAACATCATTTGCTTTCACTCCAGAATTTTCAGCAAGAATCTTCACAAAGCTTTCTAGTGCTGTGGCAAATCTTTTAACAGCATATTGCTCCAAACCAGGTAAAGTCTCACCATAAGAGGCAATTTGTCGTGCCAATTCTATCTCAGTAGCTCCACCACCAGGAACAAATCTACCATCCTATTGAAAGAAAACAGTACTTATGAATATTATTTAAAGAGAAGGAAAAATACAGTTTCAGAAACACAAGAAAGCAATTGACATGGCATTTGTATCAAACACAATAAAATATTTCACCTTAGTGATTCCTTTGAATGTGTTCACACCGTCATCCACAGCTCTCTCAATATCATCCATGTAGTTGTCTGTAGAACCTCTTATCACAATTGTTGATATGCGAGATTCCCTTCCCTCCAACCGGAAAATGACAACTGAGGTTTCACCCACCTCATCCACTCGAACCTCATCTGCATAGCCAAGTTCTTCACGAGTAGGAGCAGTCTGTTAAAAAAAGAAAGTCATCTCTGGAAAATTTAAATACAAAATATGGAGAAAAGATTTATTAACAGTGCAGTCCCCTAAATTATACATTCTTTCAGTCTGAAGTGAAAAATAATTTTAAAATATTTGATTGTAGCAGAGTATTTTTAAATTATAAAAAAGGAACTCAAAAGAGTTAAAAACCTGTTATTTAGCAAGAGTTATTTATAAAATATATTAAAAAATTGAAATGAATGTGCAATTTGTATTAAATGTTTTCCTTTGCTTAAAAATTAAAGAGATTAAAATAACTGCACAGTGTAAACAAGGGGAGCCGCAATTCCAGTATTTGTACTCTCACTGAAGTCAGAACAGCAAATTACAAGATATGGAACATGAGGATATATAGTGAGACCGGGCAGACCAATACACTGCCTTTCATCATGATCACCTTTTAATATAGGCACACATTATCTTGAGACTAGTAATAGCTACCCCCCACTTCTTGCACTATAACACTTGAGGCCATAACCTCTCTTCCTTGTTTACACATATTACTTGAATTCAGAATAAATGATAGCAACAAGCATTATAGACAAAATCTCATAACCAGAAAGATTTGCTCCTATGTAATAGAAACTATTTCGCATTGAAAAATAAGCTGGAAATTTAATAATAATAATAATAATAATAATAATAATAATAATAATAATAATAATAATAATAAACATAACAAAACCTCTCACATCTAGGGAAATGAGGGCTTCAGGAAATGTCCATGGATGATACATATCACTTACTCTAGGAGGCAGTTCAATTATTGACACAAAAGATAGATAAAGAATTCAAAGAACAGTTACAATACTGGCGCGAGTTGAGAAGTGAAACCCAAAATTCTTATAAAGATTAATGCATACTAAGCTTAGATTTGTCTTGTTATGGTTTACATATAGACTTGAAATGGAAGTGAACATAATTGAGAAGTCATTGGTGAACCCATTACAAATACAAAGTTCAGAATGAACAAGGTTTTTTATGTGGTTTTTAAAACCACGAAGTGATCATCATACATTTTGTCAATCAAAAGAATCTCTAGGAAGTAGAATTAAAACTTGGTATCCAATTACATGAAAATGGAGGTTGTCTGACAAAGTCTTCGCCTTGTCTCAAGACCAAATAACTACTCTTGTGATTCACATAAGTATGACTTTTAGATGACTCCCTGTGAAATTTTAAGTTGTTCCATCCAGCAGTTCCTTTCCCAAAACAGGTGTGATGGACATGCTGAAAATCAAGTATTACACAGAGAGATCTTTGTAAAAGTAAGTTTGGAGCTAATTGAAAGTCATTCAACATTTTCAAATAAGTATGGTGATGACCCCTCTTCAATTTCCACCATGAAGAAATGGGCAGACAAGTTCAAATGAGGCCATAACAATATCAAGATGATCCACATTAAGGTCATCCATACAGGCCCAGCGGATAATACAGGTATGGTGGGTAGCTATTCACACACAAACAATTCCGAGAGGTTATTTTACCCACTCAGGGGAGAGAAATATTCCATAAATGTCAAATGCCAGAAATGAATGAAGTTTCTCAGAATTGCATCACTCAAAGCGTATATGCGATCAACTACATTGCAAGACTGGCTCAACAGTATTACAATTTTACAAGTTTATAGTGACATGACTGTCAAAATTGATTTGCAAAAATTATTAAATGAGTTTATATCAAAAACTTGAAGCGCAGTGCAGTCTGGTGGCATTTTTATATTGCAAAAATTAACCTGCTGTAGTTGCATAAAATAAACACATTATCAATTTGACAATCCAATATAAACATGACAATTTGAAAATTTTCTGTTTTGTTTTTTACATTTTTGGAGGGGGACCCCCGCCCGGGTGAACTACACATTCAAACGTAAGATCAATCACCATCCCTGCATCCACAAATAACAACTTGAAACACAGAAAAAGGGCATATATGATAGACAGATAAGATTGGAAAGCTGTGTGAAATTGCTCATGAAGTAGGAATCAAAATACCATATTTCCCATGAAGAGTTGCACTTGAAAAAATTTTATGCAAGATACATTTGCTCATAGTGGATAAAATCCACATTTCCCTTTCTGAAAAGTACTTGACTAAAAATAAAAGTCACAAGAGTAACTTATTTAATATGCTGTAATGGTTGAAACACAAATGCACCATTTCATTCCAGAAACAAAACCTGAGTCTACAGCTAATTCCTCAGCTCCAAAGAAAGTGCAATGTCCCACCAGTATGTCATGTCATCGTGATTGGGTTACAAAAGGAATTCATGTAATTATTTTGAGAAAGGTAAAACTGTAACTAGGAAATATACAAACTGCCTAACAATTGTGGACAAACAAATTAGTGAGAAATGACTCAGTTTCAGAAGAAAAAAGGCTTTTTCTAACAAAACAATGCTCCAGATCAGAAAAGTGTTTTGAAAATAGGAAAATGAAGAGCATTATGAAACTTATCCACCATATTCCCTAGATCTGGTTCCTTCAGACTTTCATTTTCTCAAAACTCAAAGCTTCCCTCACTGCTCAGTATTTTTCATTCAATCAAATGTTTTTACAACATCGGACAAGTACCTTGTGGCATTTTTGGACAAACACAGGTAGGACAGCAGCAATGGAATATCATTGGGAGAAATGAATTGGTATAAATGGAGATTGTTGAAAAATAAAACCACTTGGGAGAACATGCATTTTCATCATCAGGCCCAAAACGTGCAATCTACCTTCATAAATGAACTTTGAACTGTTTACTCAAAATTTACTTATAATATGAAAATTTGGACTTTTGGAGAAAAGCATCTCCTTAACAATACAAAATACATTGAAGTCCCAAGAAATCATAACACTTTAGTTTTCTTCATCAAATGAACAGTTGAGGCACTTAAGTACATTGAAGTTTGGTTTTTAGTTCGATTCCTCGCTTTAAATTATTTTGACTTTGAAATGCTGATAAAAATAGCTAGGGAGAACATTTAAGCCAATTGTCACTGCATAGGGGGAAAAGCACAGTTGAACAGGTTAAACCTTTAAGTATACTCATTTGTACAGGCAGGTTTATGATTGGAAATCATCAAACACTACTCACCAGGCGAGGCAAAACTGTAGCACCAACTGATTTGCACAGACGACGAACATCGAATTTTGAATTAAGTCGAACTGCCATCATGTTGTATTTGTTAATATAATGAAGAGCCATATCTCCAAACTTAGCTCCTGCCACTACAACATTTGTCCCTGCAGCTGCAATAGACTTTATCTGCTCCTCCAAAAGTTGTTCCTCTCCACGGCTGAAGTTCATCAACTCATCTGCAGACTTAATTAACACAGTTCCCTGAAAAATAAAAAACCATTAATACAGAACTAACAAATCCTCAAAAAAGTATGTTTAATGTGTAGTCTTTTTGCAATGAATCCTGATTTTCTGATTTCATTTAAAAAATTTTTATGTTGAGAACCATGAGCATCTTAGCAATCCTGTTTTGAAAAGTCACACATTCAAATCCTCCCTATGTCATAGATATTCACTTGTGTATTGTGGTATGGTCCCAACACCTACCGATCAACTTTCTACTTGCGCCCTTCCATTCCTTGCTGACCTAGGCTCGATACTTTGGCACCCGAGTAAGTATGTATTACATCTGGGCTGTAGGTATGCGTTCTGCATAGGGCAAGGATGTTGTGTGTTGTGGCATAATGTGCATTCCAAGCATACCATCTATGAATTGAATTGAATTGAATTGATGCCTTATTTGGCGAGACTTAGGCCATTACTCTTCCAACTGACCACCCGAATGTCACTAAGGTCCTTTCACCAACTAGCAGAGGAAGGAAGTATTTCTTGGGCAATGAAACAAGCTATTTGAATTTAGCTCAGAGACTTCATTTAGGCTTGAGGATCCCCACTGAAGGAAGGCATACAAAGGATTTTTTCCTTGTACCCTTGAACATATAATTCTCCCTTCACTTATTTCCTTTCCCTTTCCAGTTGTGCAATATAACCAGGCACACAATGTCTGGGCCACATTATCAGTGCTATCTAGGCAAGATCTGACTGCATTCCTGTAATATAGGGCTGTGATGAGATCAAATACTACACTTCTCCAATCTAATCTGCAGCATGAGTGAGAAGAGGCTCATGAGCTATATCTTTGCAATGGCAGGGGGCTGGTACAAGATGGTGACTAACTGGGGGAAACACTCATGCATAATTGCATTCATGCATAGATGCCTTCATACTAGCATCTATTAATTCATCCAATACACATGCATGAATTCAACCAAGCATACATGCAGCTCATCAAAATTACATTACTCATTACTTACTATATGGCTTATTTCTGTCATTCCTAAGTTACCAATTGATATCCCAGGTTTTGAACTATTTAGAAAGGTCTAACATGTAGAAGAGGTATGACAAAACTAATAACGAGGGAATTTTCATCCATTACTCTGACAGCAACCACTCTTTATTCCACCTTTAATACAAACAACGACAATGATCAATCCTTAAGGAAGACTATCAAGGTTTATGTAAGTAGCTTCTGCTCAGATCAGTTAACAGAAAAACATTTAGTGGGCAAAACTATCCGTGGTTTCAGAAGAATCTACTGTCCATGACCAATGTACTAACAGTAGGCTTTCAACTACTCCAACATCAATTGGACCACCCTAAAAACTCGTCATCATGATTATGAATTTTTACAGTTTTATGTTAACAATAAATTGACAAAACTGGTACATCATCCCCAACAAAATGGAAAGATGTGATGATTACCTTTTAGTTCTGGTTTTAATTAACTCCAACAATTTTATTACTCATGTAGAGGATTTAGGGCCTGTTGAAGAGAGACTGAAACGCCTGTGTTTATATATATTAAGTCACAATATTTAACCCAAATCACAACACCACAAGTATACTATGTTATAGGCTTTGCTCACGAAACACTGACCAAAATGAACATTCAAGACTGAAACATAACAAAGTTTACATTATATAACGATGCTGAATTTGCAGGGAGACCCCTGGTTATTGATCCCAGTTCTAAGAGTGAATGATGGCAAACTGAATGTATGTTGCAGAAATTGGAACTGGTATTCATAAAACACCCTCTTCCCTTCATTTCCTCTTTCTCTTCCTCACCACTTCATTTCTATATTAACCCAGGAGTGCTCGCAAAATAGATCTGTGAGATCCAAGCCGCAGCAATTTTAAATTCCTGAACTATTGTGATGCATTAGTCATCTGATATTTCATGTATTCCTTCACTGTACTTTTCTGAGAACGTCTGGCCTTCTATTTTTATCCTTTTGTTGAATCATTTCCCATGAGCATATTGAAACTAGATCGCTATGCTGCGCGATATCTGTCAGATATGTTGCATACAATGGTACCAATGCACTCAGAGCTCTGCTCGTAAGCGGTAAGTGTCATAGTATTATTTTCAGTTGAGTCTATGAGAAGTGCCAACAGTAAAAGAAATCAATTGTCTTATCTAAGATCAACTGTTACAAATTTGTTCCTTTTGCAGAAAGATTTGTGATGCCATATCAAGAAGAGTGCACCTAGATGTGATTTATACAGATTTTTTTGAAGACCTTTGACCACATTAACCTTGTAACCTTACTTGCAAAATTGGATTCGTATTTATCTGGCAGACAGAAAGCAACTTTGTATTAACAGCTAATCATGGGGACATTTAATGTAACTAGTGGAGTTTCACAAGGTTTCATCTTGGGCCCCCTACTGTTCAATCTTTTTATAAATGACCTACTATGTGTATGTCCAATAGAAGATGTCTGCGTTATACAGATGACACAAAATTGTATAGGGTTGTTAACGATGATATTGCTTTGCTCTAGCGAGATCTTTGCAAATTGCAGACATAACGCAGGGAAAATGATAAGAGGCTAAATGTGGAGCAATGCTTTGTTGTCATGTCATTTACTACAAAAAGGAATAAAATAATAGCAGATTATAAAATCATAGATGAAACTTAGAGCAGAGTTGATTGTTTAAGTGACCTGGGGGAGTCACCTTTGATGGTAGGCTGACTGGGAATTTTATTCAGGGTGTAATATCTAAGGCACTGAAATATGGAGTATGGTCTTGCAAAACTCTATGCAGTTTCGATCTACTGTGACCCTTTTGCTTCTTTATTGAGCTCTTGTTAATCTTGAATATACATGGCCTGTTTGGAACCCATACACAAAATCAAATATATCAGGCATTGAAAGAATTCAACATAAGTTCCTATAGGTTTTTGCCCATAGAATTGGCATCACAATGGCACCAAACATTCATGACATTGAAGTTTTTCTCCCAAGATCTAAATTAAACAATCATTGTAGAAGAAAGCATGCTGATATTTATTTGTTACATGATATTTTGTTGGATAGAATAGACTGGACAGACATTTTTTCTTGCATACCGTTTAGAGAACCACAACGAATCTTTAGGGTAACAACTTCCTTTTTAGTTGACTCTTCTGCGAGTAATGAATTGCGTTTGTGGTTTGGCGAATAGCTTTGGCACTGACTAAGATATTTTGACAACTGAAAATTATACCTTTCAAGGTTTTTCGAACAGACATTTAAATTAATTCCGATTATGAGAAATTTGTAAGTTTGTATTCACTTTTAGTATCATTCTTTTGCGCTTTCTGTTTTAAGATCTTTCTGATATTTTATAAGTACCTAGACATGCTTTACTCTTAATTCCTTTTGGATTTGTTTTTTTACTATGTAAAGGGTATCACCTGTTAATTTTTTTAAATAAAAAACTGTGCTGCAGTTTAATATTACCTTTTCAAGAATGTGAATTGATCGCAGTGGCCTTTCTGAGTAGCACATGCAAGTTGGAACTTGCTCAGCTTATCACTGTTGCTAAGAAGCCTATCTTTCTTTTTGTTGATGCGACATTCAGTTGTCAGAATGGAGCGAACAAGAGCATTTTCATGTAATGATTCTTTACGATGATACAAGTGGTTTATACAAATTTGAAAGCCTTGACTGTTTGCAGCAGGCCTTTGGGGTACTTGCACCTTCACAATTTTACGGTGGTTTCAAGAATTCAGGCGAGGTGGAATTTTGTTGAAAGACTAAGAGAGGAGTGATTGTTCAATGACTGAAGAAAACATAGTCACTGTGCAAAAACTGGTGCGCAAAAACAATCTAATGGCATTTAAGAATACTAAAGGGTCCCTGCAGATTGGATCACTAGCAGTTTCCACAATCCTGCATAAATATCAGTCATGAAAGTTGCATTTGATGGGTGCCTCACACTGATAGAATCACAGAAGTGCATCCGTGTGGAATGGTGTGAAGAAATGTTGAAAAGATTTTAAGGAGACGATTTTCTGCATGTTTCTGACATAGTTACTGCAGATGAAACTTAAGATTTATCAGTTTGACTCTGAACATACGCTTCAGTCTACTGTATGGATTTTTCCCCATGAACATCCATTAACAAAAGTTAAGTGTCCTCAAAGTATTGCAAAGAAAATTATTACAACATTCTTCTCCAAAAGCGGTCATGCCACAACTGTTCCACTGGAAGAACAAAGAACTGTTACTGCCCTGTGGTACAATATGTCTAGCAAACGTTTTCGCCAAGCCTCACGAGCAAATCCTGAAAACAGAACTGCAGGAATTGTCCTGCACAATGACAATGTGTCTGCACACATGGCCAGCCTCTCAATTCTTTCTGTGAATCAAGAGAGGTTCAACTAATGATTTATCCGACTTACAGTCTTGACCTGGCCCCTTGTGATTATTTTCTGTTTCCTACAGTCAAAAGTCACATGCAAAGAAGGAGGATCTCAAGCCCTGAAACTGTTACAAAAGTGAATTTTTAGGACTCCAGGAAAAGGAATGGAAAAACTGTTTTGAAAATTGGTTTACGAGATAACAAAAATATATAGAATGTCATGGCAAGTATTTTGAGAAAATATAGTTATCAAAATTATTTCGATTTTTCTCAATCTCAAAACTTTTTTTAGCAACCCTCATATTAATCATTAGTGAAAAATAATTGGGCTTCTTAGGCATAATTGCACGTCAAAACAAAAAGCTTGCAGGCAAATAGAATGGAAGTAATAGCACTCACTATTTATGATTGCTTTAATAACATAATCATTTAATTAAAAAAGAAATCATCGCCAGTGTTTGCAGAATTGCAAACTCTCTACATTATTACTAACGAAGATAATGAAATTGCAAGTAAAGAACACATTTATAACGTCAAGTTTTACTGGTGATGCAATGGCAATACAAAAAACATTTCTAATATCAAAAGCATAAAAGTGAAAACAATTATAGGTTATAAACACGGGAATTAAAGGGGCAGTTAAAAATCAGTGTCAATGGTGAAAATACTTAAATTCAAGGAACATAAATTTTTAAATCTGTATTAATTGGTCCCAAAACATTCCTAGTAGAAATAGTCATAAAAATACAACAAACCACTATTAAAATCTACTATCTAAATAAAATCAATGAACGAGCTAACAACTGGCTGCTACCATTAACGATCAGCTTTCATTCAACCACATAAGGGATCATACAACAACATGCTACCCAAGAGAACATTAAATCCAATCAAATGGAACTAGAAAAGTTTTTATTTGGAATTAATGAAGTATCAATTTATGGAATGATGATAGTGATGATGATGTTCAAGATTATGATAATTCCCATGGATTCAATGATTTTACGAAAATTTAGATAACTATACTACACTTTTTTGTATTGTTTGCTGTATTGATAAGAATCTCACCTTTGTTTCCGTTTGTGTAATGTCCAGGGGACACGAATATACAGCAACTTTTGCTTGACTCTTTTTAGTTACATCACCCTCCACGTTGCGCTTGAAGACCATACCCTGAACAACTTGCGAGTTATGTACTCCAGAACCCTGCACATAAAAAACAATTATAGAAATATATTCCAAGAGATACTGAATGAATTCAATATATCAACTCTTAAATTCAATAAAATTTACCACGGCACCTCTTCCAACTTTTAATGGAAATTTTACCAATCGTCATGTTTTTACAAGTGGTACTTCTGTGTTATTGATTATTTTCAATATTTCATTGCACAAAAACTTAGAGTAAAATACTAATAAAATACCATTGTAGAATATAACTTAACAGTTACTAGGATATGGGCCACTTTTTGCAAGAATGATGAGACATGATGTTTATAGAAATAATTTTTCATTTAACTTTAATGCAAGCTTTCTTGATAAAAAAGACCATTACATATCCAAGTATTGCTTTTGCATGAAATAACACAAAAGATTGGTTCATGTAAAATCTAAAGTACTCTACATTTCATTTCTAAAAATTAAATCTTATCACATTTCCATGTCAACTGAAAGTACAAATGAAATTTAAAGAAAGCCACTGTGCAAACAAAAGCAATGACCAGGATATTTTGAATGCAAATAATGAAACAAAGTACAGATGTGAAATGAGGAATATATTAAACTACTGGTACTACAGAACGGTACAGATTTTCTTGCACTACAGTACCAGCAGCTTCAGCGAATGACAGTTCAATGCGCTGTTGCAAAATACATGTGTAAATACCACTCTTAACATTTTAGTAGTATTTGATTTTCAAAACCCACTTCTGCAGTCATAAATATTATGTTCTGTTTTTATAACGCTGATGTTCCCTGGCAAATCTGGGTACAGTCGACTTCTATTATGGCACCACAATGAATACTTCACGAGAGCTTAGTATTTTTAAGATGTAATGTTAATGGGAAGGGGCTATATTTGGAGTTTTCTGTTGAGGGAAATGCCCAACAACAATCTCCAATTGAACTCTCGTCTCTCAACAATACACAGCACAGTTGTCCCTTTCTAGGAGAGTTTGTGTGGCCTTCTTTAGCTTTCATAGCACCAGAAAAAGTCTCGAAAGAGAACAGAACCCCCAAAAAAGAATTCAAATTTGCAAACGCATTCTTTGATGAAGTGAATAAAAGACATTTGCAATTTGCATACTGTGAAAAAAGATACCTACCAGAATCTTGCACACTCTAATATTGTCCACATTGAAAGTAGTTTTTTCAGGCAAAATAGAAACTGCAACATGGAAAATCAAGTACAATTCCAAAATCAATATTTATAAAAAGAAGGAATGAATCAGTTTATAATCATTTAAAGATGAGAATTCAATTTCAGAGGGATGATAAATAAAATTTCACAATGGGTTCATAACAGGAACATTTGTTACCACAAGCCACTTACCACAAGCTCTTGAAATGAGGCTCGTGAGAAAATCTTCATTGCCATATTGCTTACTCATGATGGCTGTTTTAATTCCCTTTGAAACTTCAGTTTCATTCCTATAATCTTTAATTTCATAGCAGGTAAGAGTAGGTAATATTTCTAAAGCTTTCTCCAATGCTAATTCATAGCCATCCACAATTTCGGAGGGAGTCAGCCCCTAAAAATCATTATAAATGCATGAAAGAGAGATTAAATCATATTAATTTGTGAAAAGGGCTATAAAATTACCATTCGTAGCAAATCCTCAGCTGACTCCAGAAGAGCACCAGAAAAAATAATAACAAAATTTGTTCCATCACCAATTTCTTGTTCTTGCATCTGTGAAGCTAATATCATTAGCTTGGCAGCAGGATGCTCAACCTCTAACTCTTTAATGATGGTTGCAGCATCATTAGTAACAAACAATTTTTCTATGTGATTAATAACCATTTTATTCATGCCATTTGGGCCATAAGCAGTTCGAACTGTTTGAGCAAACTGCTTGCAAGCACTAATATTTCGAAACACTGCTTCTTCAAGTCCTCGGAAGTACTGCAAGAAAGCAACCACCACCATTTTTCAGCATCAAGTACTTAACATTACATAATTTTTTTTTAAATTAATATGTTAATACAAATCAGTAATGCACGTAGAACTTGGCTTTACCAATATCACCAACAACAAAATTGATTAATACTAGTTGAAACCCACCAAAATTTAAAGATAAACCAGAAGAAATTCTCAGAAGTCAAGCTTTAAAAGACCATGAATTTTAAATATCCCTTCCTTCCAACCTTATTGCTTTCGTGCCAAACATAATTAACAGGTATTTCAAAATAAATGAAAATACTTTTGGTCTCAATATATTTTATTTAAATTAAACCAAACATTCAGTTCTATGAATTTTAACGGTTATTTAAGTAATGCCTCAGAAGCATTCTCTACAGAGAAATGCATTCAGACACATGAACTTGTATCTGGACCACACAGCATGAAAGTTCGTGCGTATTGTAAGTGAAAATTCTATATTAAAATCACAAGGACTCGTATATATAGTATTGAGAAAACTAGAGATCCAATAATGAATAAGACATCCATTTTTGTTGCACTGTGAATGTTTACAGTCATGCCCTTTGTAAACATAACTATGACCTCACCCCCTCGCAGTTCCCCCATGCCATATGACAAAACTACGATTGATTGTAACTCAAAACAAAATAATGAACAAAGGACAGCATCTGAATGAAGCATGTAAATCTACAAACTATGCATCTCACTCCAGAAAATAATGTTAAGTGTACTTTTCAACAGCATAATTTTACAAAAGTTTGAAGATGTGTACTTCTGGTGCATTGTTGATGAAAAGCATTATTCTTATGCTATTATAATGTCTCTTGCTTATTAACTGTCTCTGTAAAAGATTAACCAAAAAATTTCCATTTGTGGTTCCCACCAAGAACATTGTTTGAATAGCACCTAAATATTATGGAGTGAAAAAGAGACAAGATTTATGGCCCACAGTGTATATTGTTTAAATTAACACACTCCACATTTTATTCAAATTGACAATTCTGCTGAGAAATTCACTCTAATTGCTGCATAAAAATCATGCAGCTGGTCTGAGGACCTTCACATTGTTTGAATTGTGACAATGATACTCTTAAACAAAGAAAGAAAAGTTCCAGAAATAAAAAAATAAAATTAGTGGAAGGATTATTACTTCTCAGAGTGAAAGGTTGGGGTGGCTCACAACAGTGGTGAGCAAAAGTAAGTAAATATGAAAGTTAATAGCACCTGAACCTCAGAGCATTTGTCTGTGTTGGAGGTCAAAACATGCGGGGGGAATTCAGCCAATCATTTCGAGAGGGGCCATTATAGATATCTGTTCAATAATAAAAATATTTGGTATTGTACTGTATATTACTTATGTTCTGTAGATATGATACTACACAATATTATTACTATACAATTACATAATTCGAGCATAACTGAATATTTGAATAAATTTTGCCAAATAAAGAAAGGTAAATGAAAAGTCTAAGCTTGGGGGGCAATATCTGAAGTCCTATTCAATTCTAATAGCTCAATTTCACACAAAATGTGGGAAAGCCCCTTGTTCTACAGAGCCCTTCAATTATTTCTTTGTTGTAAAAATACTTGAACCTTTTCAGCCATATTCTAGTTGCAAAATTTCTTTGGATTCAAGCCACATTCCCCCTCATTTCTTTGGAATAATGGAGGCAGATTTCATTCAGAGTAACACAATTCAAATTACATATTTAAAAGTTGTTACTCTGAGCCTGACCAGCATTCATGCAATACAGGGTCCCTATCAGTTTTATTTCTTACACTCAACATGTGATGAACAATAGAAAAGATGAATCAAGTTTGTAAGAAATGTTTAAGGGTTCTGATCACATTTATGCCCAGTTTGACAATTCACTAAATTCACATTCTTATCAGCAATACTTTCAAGAGTGAGCTTACAAACAGGCCTACTAATGCAATTGCAGTTAATTAGACACTTCTCAAACTTAGCACCTCAATTTCCACCAGTGGCATACATAGAAAGTTTCTATATTGTATAAACCATATCTCCATAAATTTCTTTGCTGGACACACCAACATGGACTTTGCTTTCGTAAAACCCCAACAATACATTATTACAAAATTCAGATTTTTTCAGCCATATATATTTCCAGAGTTAATAACCTGAAATGAGTGCTGTAGTTGCAACCACCAAACATGGAGAAATTATTTACAAAGCAACGAGGTTTAATTTGTGCTTCTCTCTTTCACAACAAACTAGTACAAAATTTAATTTTTCCATGGGTAAATCATAAATAGATGAAATATTAAACGTTTGTGACAATTGTGTTTGCTCTGCAGGGAACAGCTATATAAATGGGCTGGGAGTGTAATAAAAGTAATTCACTTAAGGTCCTCTTACATAACCTAAATTTTGAATTCATTTTAAAAAGATATGCGATTTGAGAAAAGGTTAGAAAACGTTAAAAAAACGTTATTAGCTCTCGAACACATGTGTTCACGTTTAAAACTGCGTTTAATAGGAATCAATTCATATAGCAAAACCTATGAGTGAAAAGTAATTTTTGGATTTAACTAATAGAAGTGACATGTCTTGCTAAGAAAGTTTATATCTTCAAACCACGATACTTGAAAATAAATGTCCTTAGGGATAAAATTCATGTTTCTCCTACGATGTGTAGAGTTAAAATGCTACTTCAATAATTTATTTCAGTGAATATTTATTTTAGAGATACTGCCGAGCGCGAAGTCTTAAACAGCGCAAACAAATGCATTACTTAACGCTTTCTGAAAAAATCTTTACCATAAAATATCACGTAGAAAATCTTTTTCATTAATGGGAAATTGTACTATTCTGGATAATAATCTAAATAATGAATCCCTGAAATTTACAATTGGTCTCGACACTTACACGTGCCCCTTCTTTCAACATCTGCGCCATTCCGGGCGCTTTTGGTACATGCAATGCCATTTCAACGAGATTTTTGTCAATTTAACAGTCTATTTCTTCAATACACTAGCACCAATCAACAAAACTTTGAACCACTCTTGCTTTTCAACTTCCAAACTACGCCAAGCTTAATACTGCAAGAAAGAGTCTCTCATGCTCTCTGACAAGAACACTTCGAACGTGTTTTGTTACCGAATAAGGTAATTAATCGAACTTGGTCTCCAAAGAGTATCCAATGCGCATGAATGCAAACTCAGTTAAGTATGATCTGCAACCAGAGTATATCTCTTGATATCTTTAAAAAAATTTAAAAAATAACAAACAGATATATATTTTTTATATTCAGGAAACAAAATTTTCAAACAAATGTTTCATTGCCCCCATAATACTGGAACAAGACATTTCGCGTATTAATATTATACGCGCACGTTTCCATGAGCCCCGGAAAGCTTACCACCACGCCTTTGCCAACTTTAGTTGAACTAAAAATAAATTATAGCAAATTATAGTAACGATCGTTGCAGACAAAATCGTATAACCATAAATATTCGCTCTCGTGCAATGCATTGAAAAATTAACTACAAATTTGATATAAAGTTCCATTTGTGGAAACAACAAAACTCCCCACTCCTCTCGCAACTATCGAAGCCATAGCTCAAGAAAGCGTGCACGGATAATAGTTGGTCGAATGAATAAACATCGACTTTATACTCCAAGGGCCAGTTTCACCGGTGCCTGAAAAAGTTCCGAATTCTAATCTGACTGATAAAAGTACCTGATATTTATTTTGCGTTTCACCAAGGTATTTCTTCTTAAAATATCTGACAGATATCTTTCTGATAAATAATCTGGCTGATTGCTCTTTCACCATCGGCAACGCCGCATTTTCGAGTCAACTCACTTTGTACGCGCGAATTCGAATGTTTTGGTAATGGAAATTCGATGTTCTTCGCTTCATTCGTTCTCATTTTGTGTTGCAGTTAACTTCGGCGTGAGCTGTATGCGAGTTCGGTGTAAAAGTTTGTTTTATTGCGTCGTACTTTGTGTGTGTAGGAGTTTCAAAATGGAAAGGGGAAAGAAGCGAGAAAGAGGAGTTCATTTAATACGAGAGGAAACAAACTTGTATCCTTCATTGCCGGGAGGAAAATATTATTAAATGTAAACTAGATGGTGATACCATGTGGTTTCATTTAATTCATTCATTCATGGGTTGCCATGAATAGCTATTGAAAAGATTCTTAATAGCTCGGTGGAAGATGCTTTTTGCGAAGGGAAACATCTTTAATAAAAATATGAAGCTCTGAAGAGAGATTAAGAAAATTTTATTATAATTGTTCAAAGTTTTTACTTTGTTTTTTAAACAAAATTACAGTAGAAATGAAGCTTACTACAAATGGCCGATTCTGAAATCATAAATGGAGTAAGGCAAAGAAATTCATTACAATTTTTGGCATGATTACGGAGGATATCATTGAAAATAGATTCTTTAATTTCTATTGCCTATTTCTCATAAATGACTCAATATTAAGACTTTTCTCTAATGACCCGCCTATTATATATTATAAAAATAAATTTCTAATTAGTAGTCACCCCTGACAATAATTTTAGAATGTATAATTTACACTTAAATTAAGAAAATGAAAGTCAAAGTAAATTGATTTAAATATTTCAACAGAATAAAGTTCAACCCATAGATTGAAATCTATTGAGATGAGTGTGGGAAGCCCCATGAAACGAGAGTGATTTTTTTTAAAATACTAACAACAAAACAAATTGTACAAAAACTCTAAAGTTTCACAAAGTTTAAACAGATAAAAATGTGTGAAAAAATGATTGTCACTTGATTATTATTATTATTATTATTATTATTATTATTATTATTATTATTATTATTATTAAAGTATTCTTTTGCTTTATAACAATCATGGAAATGTTTTTCTTCAAAAAATATATTTTTATGGTATTTTTATTTTAGAATTTAATATTGTCATAAATGTTTGTGAAAAGATTTGACACTAACATGGTATTAATCCCTTCCACCATATTACAAACAAATCTTTTCCAAAGATTTATGTCAATGTTCTCATTAAAATAAAAATTAATTTTGGATAATGAACCAAGAAAATATTCTAGAATAATCTTTAAGTGAGGATGTATAAGTATGTTCTTACAATGGGACTTTTCTTTTTTTTGATTAAATTTTTTATATAGTTATATTTTTTGTAAAAATATCTACTTAATTTAACACGTTTGGCAAGTTTTCTCCCTAAAAGTTTTCTACTTTTATAGTTTCTACTTACTACTTACATATTTTTTCACTTACATTTGATTTTTCAATGAATTTCATTTTTTATTTCTACGTAACTTTTATTTTATTCACAATCTTGAAAATTTGTTTGACTTTTTTTTATTTTTAGATGGATCATGTCCTTTAGTATCTAACGTATGTTGATGAGTGTAATTGACACATCTAATCGGTGTGTTGGACAATAAATTTCTTTTGAAGAAAAAAATCATTGATTGTTTAAAAAGAAAAGGATACTTGTGTTTAATTAATTTATAAAGAAACATTTTATAAAGATAGTTCACAAGACAGTCACTATCGTATAGTGTAGAACACTATAAAATCGGCTCCACTCAGCATAAAACCATTCTCTTGCAACTGATATTTTTGAGATGTCACTTTTCTTAAACATCGACGAAATGTATATTATATATTACCAGGTGATTGTATGGGAACATACGTGCAATCTATTGCTGCGAGAACTCAAGAAAATCTAACAATTTCATAAAAATCTTCTTGGGTGATTTCTATAATCCTTGGAAGCTTCACGAACTCACTACACTTGAAGGTGTAGATTGCTCACCTCAATGAAGACTCAAATTACGATTTAAAAAAATTATTCCGTTGCAAAATAACGCAAGTGAGAAGTCGGTTCATTGGTGATACCTCACAATTGCTAGCAAAACAACGTATACATTTTATTATTTTGACATCAAATGAATTCAACAAGACATTATAGAAATATAAGTCTGTATTCACAAATATTTTATTTTCTGTTCTATCAAAGACAGCTTTGATAACTGTAGGCTTCCTTTAAGGCTAAATGCACCGAAAACTACTTGTAGGAAAATTCAAAAGATCGCAGCACTATAAAAATGATTAAGTTCTATAATAAGAAGAATTTACGCTACGATGTGCAGATTACATTACGTCGCGTATGCGTTAGCGTAAAGCATATACTAAGATCATACTCACAGAAAAGGATTTCCTTCGTTTTTAAACTCATTTGAATGTTCCATATTATTTATATCATTGTGGCCGATACGTCACGAAAGAGTCACGTCCAACTGGTTTTGCTTACTTCAATTTCTACAGATAACTTTTTCTAGAAAATCCACTTTTTATAAAACAAAGAAAATGGAAGGGAAAACACGCTCCAAATGCAAGCAAACATCTAGGAGTTATCCAATTGCATCATTACCCTTTATTAATTTACGTAGTCTGAACGAAATGACGCACCAGGAATTATTTATTCCCTTCAAAATTATACAAATATAACATATCTATTTTATATGAAAATAACTTACCAAGTAAGCTGGGATAAGCTATGATTCATAATATCTTATTTCGATACTTGTTACGGCGTTATAGTCAGGATGCAGCTCGCCAGCCCGCTATTTTACCACCATTTTAAATGTATGCCATGGGTATACCAGTGCTGTATGTATGGTCATACCAGCCCTGAGGAAGACCACGACAAAATGGTCCAAACGTCGGCAACACAGCCTTCGACGCGACGTCACCCGGACAGCCAAGATCATGCACTTTTTTAAATTCGTCCTAAAGTACGAAAACATTTTTAAAGTTAGCTTCGGCTATTTTACTTGGGAAAAGAGATTCACCAGATGAACCATTTAAAGCAGGTAAACGTCGTTTTGAGATCAAAAATCGAGTTGTAGGATAACAGAGCTCGTGCGTATACTCCGCTCATTCTTTCCGGTATTTGAACCCGGAAGATCTTACAGCAAGGTGGAATGAAAACAGAAGACCTTAGAAGTAAACTATATCTAAAATAAGAAGTGAGGAGATAGAATAATGATAATATTAACAGAATTAGTTCTTTTTTTTTAAAAAAAAACGTTCCAAACCGGAATCGATATTTTGAGTAATGCCTCAATTTTTAGATCGTATTCGAAGGAAGACGGAAATATATGAAAAAGATGGTTATGTACTACTCTTACAAACCGTTTACCTCGGTCTGTAATAGTAGTATAGCATCTCTAGTTTGATATCTGTGGAAAAATAGATTGAGATGCAAAGTGACGAATGCATAAACCGACTGTCTCGCTTGCGTATCTCTCTAGTCCCACCTGCTCCGCCGGGGCTGGCCGCACGCCGCCTGGCCTGGCCGTGCCGCCGTGCCGACAGAGGGCCACAGCAATCGGGTGGTTGTCGCAACCGAGCAGAAGGGGAAGGGGGGAGGCGAGATGGTGTTTTCCTAAATTTCACTTTTCGACGCTCCTATTCGTCCGATTTGCATGATTGTCACGGCCTTGCATTCAGGAAGCATGACGCCATCGTGCTATAAGCCCACATTTTTTAATTTTTTCTCGAAAGTTCAGGAACTAATTTCAAATTCAAATTTTGTTAGATTTTTGGAAAATGAGCTTCGTAGCATAAATTCTATTTTAAAAAGGCGTCAAATGCCGCTTACAGATTGAAAATTGGACCATTGGTTCAGACATCAGTAATTTTTTCTTATTTTGGTGCTGCCACGTGGTGGCTACACTACGTACTACTAGTGTCGGGTCATTTAGCCTTAATCTAAAACGGGATTTGCAATCTTGTTCGTCAAGGGTCTCAAAATATTCCGACCGACACGTCATCTGGGTGGACGCTCTAAACCAACAATTCGTCGTCCATCATATCTATTACGTTGTCTATCACAGAAATATCATAGTTATTCCTTGAAAATCACAGCAAGTTCTCACACAAATTCTGTTTGTTTGGAGTTATCTTCCAGATAAACATTTAACAGCCTCTCCAACCTTCGGGTTATTTACCGGATACTTCAACCATTGGATAGAATTATCAGGCACTCATAAAACACAAAATTTCAACATATCAGTAAGAAACCTTCTCGATAGGTTATCAGACACTTTATCAGGCACCGATAAAACAGTAAAACAGGCCCTGAGTTTCTTATCATGAAAGGGATGAGCATGAAAGGGAAGTATTATCTGGGCACGCTTTCTTGAGCCATCGCTTCGCTAGTTGCGACAGGAGTGAAGAGTTTGGTTCTTTTATCAAAAGATTTTTTATGTAAAATTTGTAGTTCGTTTATGGATGCAAAATAATTTCTATTGAACAAAAGCGAACATTTCTGGTTATCACATTTTGACTACAACGCTCGTTGCTATAATTTATTCTTAATTCA